TTATCAATCGTAACTTGGTCTATTGTGATTTCTTACCTTGGCGCTTTGGTGCCATTCACACTCAGTTACTTTGAATTCTTATTTTCTCTGGGTGAGTATTCATGTTAAGTGAGCTCAGATAGAAATAACGACAAAACGACCAATTCCAGAGAGGTAATCAACTTTGTATGACAGCAATAGCTTATACACTTTTTATAAAATAAAAAAAAGAAAATAATAAAAAATTGGAGGACCCTTCGGTCGAATGCTATAAGCAGTCTTTTATGAGTGCCAAATTGTTTAAAACCGCCCAAGGAATCAGTTGATTTCCAGCTAATTTGATACATTTAGTTTCGAGTTTAAAAAGTCAAAAATTATTTCATGTATATTATCAAAAACTTTATTCTGTTGTAGGGAAAGGAAACATGTGAAAACGTTCAACGAAACAAAATTGTTAAAATATACGATAGGTCAGTATGAAAAGTACACGCGTGGATCTCATGATGAATTTAGTGATTGGGAAGGACCATCAGAAAAGAGATGGGGGTCAAGATATGACCAAAAATAGTTGCCCGGAAGTATCAAGCAGAATGACACAAATAATCTTCATGTAAACTTTACGTGCTCAGTTAGTTCAGTTCCCACAGAAATCACACCCGGTGCGAACATTATGATATCTTGAAGACATCAAAAGTAACTAATCACAAGAAATAAAAAAACTCACGAAAAAAGAGTGAACTGTGTTGAATTCAGCTATACTAGTTAAGCTTAAGTGCAAAGTATCACGGCATTCATGATCTCCATTGTTTTAACCAACTGCAAATTTTGCGAGAAAGTGCAGCTCTGTGTACTGGGCTCTGCAAGTGTGAAAGTAATTCATTCTATTTCACTGGTATTCATCGCTTAGGGGTTGGTGTCCCCAATCATCAAAAGAAAAGACTGTGCTCATTACCGACACATTGATGTATATGCACAGCATTCGGACGCTTTAAGAAAGGTCGCTGAAAGCGGAGGATTGATTGTGATAAGGTATGCATTTCTCTATTTTTACTCGCGGAGTTGGTAACAACGCGTTAAAGTTACAACTGCATGCTTGATCTGTGATACGGAGGATTAAATGCTGAGTTATACTTACTAAAGAGCGTCCATTTTTGCATCGGCGTCTCTGGTTGTGCGTCAACTGTCCTTGTGTCTCTTGCAAGTTTACCAAGAGGCAGACCAACGTAGAAATAAGAAATAACAATAATAGGCTTTTCATCTCTAGTTCGTGCGTTAATTTACTGTGTTCTCAGGATTATATTACTCTACTTTCTCGTGCTTTTTTGAGAACTAGCAAACCGAGCGGTCAGTCTCATTTAATATCCAGAACATAGTAGTTTCCGAAGAAACACGGAGTATCTTTTTATAACGCCTTCTCGTGTTATTTCGTTTTTAAGTCATGCAAATTTGTAGTATTTTTCGATAAGAGTACCAGACAAACCAAGTACTTAGTCTGCTTTTTCTCTGAACTGCTATTATTTCACCGCTGCCATTTCCAGTACGTGGGAGAAAATGAGCGGAAATCTCTTGATCAGAACGATTACCTGTTCAAGTTTTATTTTCCTTTACGTCAAAAATTTTCAAGTCCAAACGTAAATATACGTATTTCGAGTGACTTATCCATAATCTGTTTAACAGGTCAATTATACGAAAATGTTTTCACAAATTGAGTGAAATATATATCTCATCGTGACGGATTTTTCCCTTTCCTGCACTTAACGTCAACGAGCAAGTAATTTGCTGATAACATCATTCACTTGATTCGTAAATTTTGATAAAGTCAAACGCAACCTATCGTCGTTTCGTAATAAAATAAAGTTTGTTTTTCCATCTAACAAAGGAAAGGAGTTTCAAGATAATTTGGAAGACCGCGTTTAGCCTTAGCCTTCACACGATAATGTGCGCAGAATTCAGAGTTGTCTAGTGCATGTTCCACGCCTCCATCAACATTCATTGACCAGCATATCTTTATCAAAGGCGTATAAACTTTACACTATTAGCAAAAGCCTTAAATTGTCGAGTTGAAGAAATGGACACCATACCCATTCGATTTTGCGTCAAATGGACTCACAAATTGCCCTCAAGGAGGTTTAAAATCTAGAAGACAAAATCACTGTTTTACGATCACGATTTAGCAACTGTGACTTCTTCGCTTAGATAAAGTAGTTTGACCAAGTTGTACTAGGTTATCATTTAATACCAATCTGGCTCAGATTCTAGTTTGGGTGAATGACATGAAGCTGTGTATCACAGTACTCAACCAAGTTTTCAAAACAAAAACAGAAAGCTGACAGATTTCGCGGGGCAATCTCAAAATGTCTTATTTCGTGTAAGCTTTGCGATTTGTATACACCGGTCACAAACAAACTATCGGGCTTTTGTTTAATATGTTGTGATCATCATCCTTTTTATACTCCGTTTCAAATTCATTCCACTCACAGGACATTCTGACACTGAGGTTGTTAAAGCATGAAATCGGACTTTCCCTCTCCTTTGTGCCTGTCATTGCTCATTTATTCTAGCAAAGGGTTTCTAAGAAAGCTGATGGAAATTTTGTCTTTCAGTTCAACAAAACCCAGAATCCTTCACTAAAGTTACTGTCTGTAGGATTTATGTACGTTCCGCCTCAATTTAATTTCTTTTAACCATGTTTGGTCTGTATTGACACAAACTGAATCCCCTCGTGGATCCTAAGTCGTAGATAGAGAGCTTTTACTTTACCTCACTTTATCTTAATTTTATTTTGCTGGTTTTAACAGCGGCTAATATGTCGGGCTAAGCGAATTCAAAACGCTTGATATCAGTTGCAATACCTTTATTTTTTTCTTTTTGTTCCTGCTATTCGTGCGTATCAAAAAGGATATGAATGCCTATCAAACGAATACAACACAATGTTTGCATCTCTTTAGCGGCGCGGATGAAACTCACACTTTTGCAGCGTCGTGTACCGAATGAAAGTTTCAAGAAAGGAAGGGCTATTTGCAAATTTTTTCTACCACTTTCAAAAAAGATATGGCTTACATATCAAACGAAGGATTGATAAGAATTTGTCCTTTCGGTTTTCTTTAACTACAGATGTTATTACTTAGCACGGTTTTCTAAACTTGAAGCTGAGTTGAAAGGAAACTGACTTACTCTGAACTGATCCTACTTTCGATGTAAGTCTCCGCTGTAAACTTGAAATACTCGCCCAACTTTACTCTCCTTGTTTATTCAGTCCATTAGTTTTATCGATTGAGAGATACTACCTCGCCAAAATGTCTCCTCTCCGTAAATCGTGGCCCTCCGGTTGATTCAGAAAGTACTCGAAAAAGTGAGTTCATCCGGTCTTTAAAATGTTTTTTTTCCCTGAATTTTTCCAGATTTAACGTTTTCTGTTCCGATACAATGATTAAATGATTTCAAATGTCAGCCCGTACAGGATGAAGACAACGCTCTTGAAATTTTAACACCAAAACACCTACGACTTGTCATTATTACAGCAATAGAGTACTTACTTCAATTTCCCCATACTGAAGGTTTTTGGCTAAGAATGTCTTGAAATAGTTCAGTGCTGTAGTTTTTACGGAATTTAAAAGGTCCAGTTCTCTGGTTCAGGTTCGGTTCTTCCATAATACAAAGTGAACACTCAGTGAACCCGAGCTTCCACCCGTGCTGGAAATGTTATCAGTTCCGCTTAGGAAGGCGATCAAGATCAGGGGGAAGGATTTGGACCAAACAGGTTATCTAACAGATACAAATGAATAAAGGCTGATAGTTTCTAAAGAAACTGTTTGGGGTTGCGTCGGTGGGGGTAACGAAATAATTTGAATATATGAACAAAGTTGAAATGGTAAATTGGCCACCGTTACGATTATAAAAGCTGACGTTTCGAGCTTTAGCCCTTCGTCGGAGCGAAGGGCTAACGCTCGAAACGTCAGCTTTTATAATCGTAACGGTGGCCAATTTACCATTTCAACTTTGTTCATATATTCAAATTATATCTAACAGATACGGTAACTATCGATGCAGAGAATAGCCGTTAATCTTATCTTTAAAAGCTCTGTTTAATTGCAAGCATATATTTTTATCAGGGAAGCTATCAGATAACTCCAAAAAGATGAGGAGTCTGTCTCACGGCTTCAAGTGCGAAATATGATTGGAAAAATCAAAAGGTTGAAACGATAATCCGCTTTTCCTAGTGTTTTTTTCCCGAATCTAATCATATTCTCTTGTTATTCAGTGCCTAGAACAATTAGAGAGGCAAGTGGTTTCTCCACTGTTCGCTAGTGATAAATGTTCTCTTCACCTCTTCGTCCTTTAAATATCTTGTAGTTGCGTTCCGTCTGTCAGGATCCATCTTTTGTTTATAACAGCCCTGGATCGCGATTTAATACATCCACTGAAAAGCCAACAAAATTAAACGGTTGAATGAGGTGATGGTTGGATTATTTTTTAGCTAGATTCAGTATCGAGGTAAGCTTGGTGCAACAGAAAAAAGATTGAGCTAGAGTGACCTCTTGTAAAACGTTTAATCCGTATTTCTACCAGAGGTATGAGGTGGAAATTGTTATGACGTCAGGTTTGGCACCAACATTTGTTGTCTATCTTTGAAAGGCTTTTAAAAGAAAAGTGGAGCAAAGAAATAATCACTCCGCATTTGATATAATACCGAGTGAGCGACTTGTTTTGGAGTTTAGTTCAGTCCACGATCAACGTCCAATATATCTTGGGTGATAAATTTGCTCGCTGAATACGAAAGTGATTTAAGAAAAGTGTTTTGCTCATTTTACGTTGCTGGGCGCAATATCATTATTACAGAAATGATATGCTGGGTTTTACCACATCTCTTTATTGAGAAAAACCCAGACTTAAGGGAATTTTAGATGTTTAAAGCATTTCAAACGTTCATTCCCGCATTATCGCGTTAGGAATGTTAAATACGTGTTGAAATTCAGGTCATAGCCAATCTTTTCATGCCATGCGCTACGCGGCACAAATAGCAAAGCGTGTCGCCAATGTACGTGATGATATTGACGTGAAGATATGCGATATGGTATTTAAAGCAAAGCAGTTGAAAACTAGTCTCTCACCAGATTGGAAGACATTTTTAAGGTTTAAAAGCAGAACTGTCCTTACAATAATCTAACGCAAGGTTCGCCCGAACTAATTGAGCGATGGGAAACTGCCATATGGCAAGCGACAGGGAGGCCGTTGTTGTCTCAGGTAAAATTGTTTATTGATACACTGATCAAATAATATTCTCTGAAACTCATATTTCGAGATTTCATTTTTTTTATAGCAAGAATGACGGTGTACCAGGCCTTACTAAAATTGCTACATTAAAGAAACGTAGTAGGTTTATTAAAAGAAGCGAAAAAAAGTAATGTGGTTCTTACGTGACAACAAACATTTTATTTAGATTATTTTTTTAAAATATCCTTATCTCATATTCCTTTCAAACGTTTGTTTGCCTTCAGTGGCAAATGTGTAGATCTAACTTCTCTGTGAGACAAAGGTGGCCAAAGAGTAGGACTTTTAGTAACCGTTCTCAGTCAAGACAGGGACATCGGTCTAATTCATACAAGAGATGTTATATGACTGAAGGCGGCAAGACATTGACCTATGAACGCTCCTCTGTACTTGAATTATTAATAGCTACGATTAAATGTAATTTCAATTTGTGTTTTCTCTCTAAGGTGGATGTTGCATTCCTCGAACTCAGCAGTACAAAGCGGTTGCGGGCAAACGGAGTTGTCTGTGGGCCTGGGCTGGACTTACTAAAGTTGATAGGTATTGTAAATTTTTTAGAGCAAGAGTTCCATATAACCCCATACATTAATTATGCATAGACTGTTGCAAAGAAACTTTTATATTTAGTCTTTATATAAAGGAATGCATAATTAATGTATGGGGTTATATGGAACTCTTTCCTTTTTTAGTACTGATAATCCCATTGTAAAGGAATCGGATCAACGAAACCACCCCTATGCTTTTATGCGGTAACGTCACTCCATTCTTTAGATTCTTCTGCGTTTTGATTTTATTCTCGTAAAAAATGTCTTGACTTGTTCACTCGGGGTGCCATGAACATCCTCCCGGTGCATCAGGCCTTATATTAGGTCTGTTTTAGAACGAGAGTAAGTGTGAGGCCTCAGATTTAAAAATGATTCATTTTTGTAATTTTTGAAATCGGCTTTGAGCTTGATTTCGTTTGAACGAATGTTTTCCCAAAGAGTCTGTCACTTTTGCCTGCCCGCAAAAAATGATCCACCGGTCGATTATATTTAGAATTTTGTTAGCATTGCCAAAAGGTTTCTTTTGCTTAAAGTGCCAATAGTGTGAATTTCTGTTACGCGTCTTTATTTAGCTTTTCATATGTACAATCTCATTTCGATTGAAGATAAATTTAAAAAAATTAAAAGTCGGTTTTTTCGGCTATATAGTGCTCTTATTTTGTCTTAAAAGTGTCAACTGAGAGTTGACACTTACAAATTTCTCGCTTCTCATGTAATTTTGTGTCAGTCGACGAAGACTGACAAAGACGGTTTCTCGCCTGAGGTAATCAGGTTAAGAGTAGAACGAAATACTCCTGTTACTGAAAGTTTAGTTCGCTGCGTTTGTGTTTTGTTTACTGTGGCGAAATCTATGCTAGGAATGGATAGCTGTGTTCATTTCTGTTGCCATAACAATATAATAATAATAATAATAATAATAATAATATTCAATATTCATATTGCGCTTTTTCTTTAAAAATACTCAAAAGCGCATTACAACATTAATTATTACACCCGATAAAATTACAATATTTACAGTATAAAATTTCCCGAGTAATTAGTAAGACATAGAATTTTTTAAAAATCTCAAAATTAAATTAAATGAATAAATAATCTAACTAAAAGCCTTTTTAAATAAATATGTTTTAACAGAGCGTTTGAAGGAGTTGATATAGTTTGTTACTGTGGAGCTAACCAGACCAAAGGCTAACTATGGTCAACTATGGACGGCAGCATCGAAAGAATCTCGTGTATCACGAGGCACTATGATTTTTTCGCCTAGAAGTCATTGGGCAGTTTTACTCCAAGTAGCTCCTTTAATCCGCGATTGCAAAGACGGAGGCTATCGTCGTCGACTGGCATCAGTGTTGTAAATGAATATTGCCTGTACATCGATTTCAATACCATCTAGTTCACTGATGTTTGTGTTTCACAATAGCCCATTTCCGAATTACCCTTGGCCTCATTTTCAAAATGAGTCCTGGTGCTCATCCTTTCATATGATAATAAGTTTTCATTCACATGCAAATTAAACTCATTTTCACAAGAATGGTTAAGCACCAGTCCTCGTTTTGAAAAAGAGGCCAATGGTAATTCAGAAATGGGCTACTTATCTCTTTACTGTGCTGCTATGACAACAACATTGGTATTGTTGCTACTTTTAGTTTCTTGAGAGCCGGGGGAATTGATGGCTCGTGAGGTGGATTTTAGGAGAATACGCAGCCCCTTCCAGCTTGTGTTTATGCCAATATCCGCCAGAAGTTTCGCACCGTTCACGAGACAGGATATTGGTCAGCTCAGGAAAGGGCTTGACCTTTATTACAAATGACGTATTCCTGTTATTAAAATACGATGGAAACTTTCCTGTTTTTAAAATACGATGGAAACTACAATTGGCAGGATTTTCATACGATAAGAAAAGTACAAATGTAGTCACGTGGAAAGACAAGGGATATGAGTACATCTCAAGCGCGTGAAATTAACAACATTAAGAAGTACACCTTTGATCGCTTGCAAAATGTCAGGCAAGACAAAGTGGAGCAATTGTTTCCGGGGTGGGAACAGACCCCTAAATCAGCATTCTTTTCTGCTGAATTCATTGGCCATCTTCCCCTGATTTGACTAGTGGTATGTGTTCATAACAGCCGTCTTCGCACTCGGGACGGAGCATAATGTCGACGACTTTGAAGAGTAAAATCTCCCCCATATCGACGATCAAAGCGCTTCCATTTTGGCCATACAACTACACCCTTTGGAAAGCAGTGTTTAGAAATATCCGGTGTAATTGTATTATTCTTGTAGCTAACTTCATTTTCCGCTCCGGCCTCACAATATGCTAGTTTCCTGCTCTTGATTTCTCCTCTCTCCACCGGCCATAGTTGCCGACGTGTCTTCACAGTTTTCTATGTCACAGTTGTGTAATATGGTCGTTTTGACCGCGCGCTAAATGTGGACACTGTATCTGCCAAATTCCATCCATGACATGCGGTATATTTTCTGGAAACATGCTAGATAATGAAGTCGGAGTGATAAGATTCAGATTGGTGTAACGTCAGAAAGCAGTAAAAGTTCAGTATCTGGCGGGTAATGCGATATTTTCGATCGGAGAAACTTAAACAGCAGCGTCGACCAGAAAACATGAAATGAAACGTTATCCAGTGCATCGCAATTGTTTACAATGTGTTATTGTTCTCGATGCTGCGTTCAACAAAGGAAAACGCAGTTGTTCTTGGAAAACTTGAACAATTACCGTGACAAGCGCATTTATCAAACGAAGTTTGAGACTTCAGATTCTTTTGAGTATGATCGATAGCCTTGAACTGATCCTATTTTTCTACATTTCAAGCTCTCAAAATGACTCGGAAAACAGGCTAGAATAGGCCTCACTTAATCCCCAGTTGCTACAGGATTGTTCACGGTACCAGGCAAAAAACTCGCTAGGACACATACCAATTTGAAGTGACGTTAAATTTGTCAGGTGTTGTATCGAATGATTTACCAATAGTGAGATTTTGTTTATCCCGTCGAAACGTGAGCATGTTCTCTTAAATGGAGACCTCGTTGACTCGGCCAAAGGCCACACTCGGAAATGTCAATCTATCCAATCCACGATCACCCCGTGCCATATTCGCTGAAACGAGATAAACATTCTCATTGTACCAAACAAGACAATACAGCATTCAAAACATAACTGAAAGTGAGTTGATGACACCTCAGACCTGGTCTTTCCAGAGACCTCCTCTATTGTAATACTCCAATGTATTATTATGCCGATCTATCGCTTTTATATGGTAACCCTAAAAAGGTGTAAGAAATGTGTCACTTGGGGATTATGAGCGCAATTTAAAAAAAACAAAGTTTTTAAGCACAGCATATTTTTTACAGGTTAACCCTGGATGTACTTACGTTTAAAAAGGTTTACAGGAATGTCAAAACGGCGAGGGGTGACCAAGCTTCTGTCTCAATCATTGCCGAGGTACAAATCATGCAGGATCTTCAACATTTCGCAAGAGCAAGTGATTACTTCCTGGGAAAAACCACAGATGAAATATCTGATGTTGTTCTTCATGTTTTCGAGGCACATCTTCGTGATGTCTACGAACAGTTAATTCTGAAATGCATCGAAGAAGGTATGGGTAGCTTTAATCCCCATAGTTTCCAGTATCATCTCCTGAGTGGGAATAATTAAGGTAATAGCATTGGTTGATCTACATCGTGGGATGAAGGGTGTGAGAGGGGAAGCTGCAGCCCGACTCCAGGTCAATTTTGGACATAGTATCGAATTCAGCATTAAGGAAAGGCTTCTATCTATCCGCCGCTAGAACCAAAACTAACAAAAGTTTGCACAATTTGGAAAAAAGCTTTTTCTTCTCAACTAAGCCTTTTCCTGTGTCTTTTACTGCATCCGCCTTTTTTAGTATCGCTTACCTTAATGGTTTCCGTTGGACCTGGTTTATTGGCCATCAGACTCGTTGTCTACTGGAATATTATGATATGAATACTGTGCCAAGCCTAATATCTAAATCAGCCATACAAGGCAAAGTTATAATTTTTTGTTTCAATGAGCTGGTCAAACATTTGTTAGAGTGTTGAGCTGAAAGAGCAAAACAAACTGCATTTAGAAAGCTTACTTTTGAGGACTTCGATCGCAGTTGGCTTCCAGCTCACGGGAGCAAGGACAAGTGCGAATTCTTGAGTCGAAACGTACGTCAGATTAACCAAAACTGATATTGAACTATGCCTTGGACGATCTTTAAACAAATCTGTGACGTGTTAATCAGTTGTTGATTTCTCTTCGTCCTGCACATTCCAGATGCAAACCATTTTTCAGTAAAAGTACAGAAAGCAGCCACTCCGGACCTATGGGATCTGGGGGTGTTGATTCATAACTTTTTCATCACGGACGTCACAAGGGAGGATTTGTAAAAGTCGCAATAGAACTCAAAGAATGATGGACATTGAGATCAATGAAGTACAATGTGTTGAGAACGAGGTTGACCACGGAGAGCTCGGCGAGTTTGCTATTTGCCTCTCAGTTCCTATGAGCTATCTGTAAGGAACCAGCAACTAACACATAAAGTAGATTCTCTGTTTAGTTCCGGGTGTGGGAGGCACTATCACAGAAAAGGACGTATCAAAATAACAGTTCCTTTAGAGAAAGATATATGTAACTTTTCAATATCAAGTTAAGAAAGCCCTTCAATAGAGCCGCCTGTCTCAGGCATGCGTTGTTTCATATATTCCCACCGTCGCCGGATGTGATATAGCGACAGACTATATTGCAGGAAAGGAGGCCAAATATTTGACAGCAAACAGCGGAAGTGTATAAGTTTGGCTGACGTACAAGAATGCCAGTATGCATTGGAACCTCCCAAAGAACCTACCTTAAGTCACTTTTTGCACAATCTAATGGTATCATCAAACACGTTGCATACATCACATTGCCTCACGTCTGATTTGAACCTTGTTCACCAATTTTCGGACGTTCATGATTCTCCTACGTATTTTGATGCACTCCAAGTCTGACCAATTATACATACAGGGCGCAATAGAATCGAACTTGTATTAAACAGTCAGTTCAGTGTCGAGGTTCCGAATTTGTTTCCTCTTAAACACTGTTATTTCCAACTCTATTAAGTGGTCTTGGTCTCCCTTTATTGAATTCTTTTTAATCCAACTTTTTTAAACGTTCAGTTCGGGCGAAGTCACTCAAATAAAACAGCATAATCTTGCAAGTAAAATTTAATTTATGTTTATCTCCCCAAATTTGCATTTTTAAGCGAGGTTTTGAACATTAAGTGGTTAATTATGGCATAAAATGGCGTTCTTACCGTTTCTTTTCTGTGTAACCTGTATTGAGCAGTCACTCACCTATTTACCGTGGGTGAATCCTTAATACAGGTTCGACTGCATGTTCAAGTAGTTTTGTTATTTCTGTCTAATCCCATTGAGAAAACAAGGGACATTTTTTTACAAAGTTCAAATTAACGGTGTTATACTTTGTTCGTAAGAAACACTTTGCCCAGCTTTTCTTACTCAAGGTTAGCGACTTGTTCGATAAATGTTCGATATGCTACACGAATGTGTAGCATTAACCAGTTGGTTACAAGTGCCTACATGACATACTATTCATGTAAAATTTGAATAAATGGTTTTATCATCAATACTTACATGGGATTGTCAGAACTACTTATCAAACCAATTCCAAGTGCCTTTTGTGATGTTTACTCTTAACATGTTTGTGTACCCAGATCCTCTCAGTACAGTATACTACGCCAGACTACAGGCGTTTATACGGTTGAGCTTCTCAGTTTAATTCCGCATGAAGAACACTGACAGTTGCTTATTTAATTCCACGTGAGGAACACTTACAGTTGCTAAATTTAGCGCCTCCTCGCCTACGCCTACTCGATTTTCCTGTTCTGTTCGACATTATTCTAGCGTTCCTAACTCTAGACCAGCCATCTCAACCGCATATTCGATACCAGCGCAACTCGGAAAGGCCAACCATTTTACCTTAGCTTTTATTCAAAGTAAACATACCAGGTGCAACATGATACCCATTTATCGCGATTGGATGTGTTGTTCTCTTTTCGCAGCAAAACCTCAAAATATCTAGTCAATAATGTTCTCCCGACAATCGAAGTAATAACCAGCTTTGAGAAGTTAAAATCTTTAGAAAAGAACCTATTAAAATTTCAATCAGTTACCTCGTTTTCCTATTAGGGCTGTACTATGGAAACTGAATAGTTTTAGTCTGCTAGATAAGTTTCACTCGGCCTATCTACGTGGCAACGGATAAAGATCTGATCTTTGTGTCGCTCTGTAGTGTATTTCGGTACATACGGTCACATAGCGTTACCACTGTAAGGAACTTTTAATCATGCCGTAAGTCTAATATCCTAAGTAAAGGTAAAATAACTGATTACGAGTATTGTACGGTAAATATATCATCTTGATTACTGAATAAAGTACAGTTGAATTAGAAGAATGAGAGTGATCAGTTGACCTATGAATACTCTACACCCCGGCACAGACACTAAGCAATAGTAACCAAAGAACAGGAGATACATTCAAGTTTTACTATAAAAGGCCTTACTTCTTGCCTTTTTTTTTTTGCTAAACGAACCCCATCCTCGGAGCCCCAGGGGCTGTAAGCCGATTTCAAGTTAGGGCGGAAGAGCCGGGGCTCTTCCGCCCTAACTTGAAATCGACTCACAGCCCCTGGGTCTCCGAGGATGAACGAACCCGTGCACCACTCCTACTTCCCTCTACCCTAGAGGAACTGAAGAATGTCAAGTTAACCCCGGTCCTGAAGTTAGGTTGATAGCGGACGAGGAAGCAGTGTTCTGCTACTTTCGTTACCCTTTGAGACGTGATCTCTTAGAATTTGGTACATAGCTGTTTGTTTCTCCTACTGAATACTGTTTTTATTCTTATATATGTTTGAAAACTTGGTCATTTTACGCTTTCAGTTTCAAATATCCTAACCAAGAGAGGACGAGGTACATCCGCTCTTGTTCAACGAAAGTTCTCAAAAGTTCGGTTAAGAAATCATGCCATTTGACCAGTGCGGGCCAACTTTAGCTATCGCCGGTTGACAGTTATTTCTTTCAGGACCAAGCAATCTAATGAGTGTAATAACTGGCTTCAAGTACTATCATTGAGGCTTCCATCAAATCGCCAACTTTCTGTACTTTTACTTGTCGATTGCAAACACGCCACTGAGGTAATTTGAGCTATTTGGCCTGATTGCCGATTCTTTCGTTGCCACACTTTCCGCAGGCGGCCCACTAAACCGTACTGTGTACAATTTTGGGGTCTATAGGTCATTAACGGGAAGATTGAATTTAAGCGTAAGCTTGCACCGTAAAAAAATATGAAATATTCACAAAAAATTGAGAAATATAAAAAGGATAATAAAAGTGAGGAATATAAATTTTCATCTCCTTATCTTGACTCCCCCCCTCCCCCCTTAGATAGCTTCCCAATAGAATGGAGTTTAGTTCTACTTACATCCTGACATCTCTGCGTTTGTCGCTCGTCTTCTATTACCACCTCCTTATTTATCACCCTTTTCCCACAAAACTCCTTACTGTGACAACCCTTCCATGAAAATTATTATATTGGATGATTTGATAAGAAATAGCACACAAACTCTAGTTACAAACATGACAGTAAGACGCATGTTGGAAAACAAGATTAGTAAACTTTACTTGACGTTTCGTTTGATATTGGATGATTTGGTCAAAATTTAAAAGTGTATGAAGTCTATGAAATTCTTTCACAAATTTCTCAAGATCAATCACACGAAAAAGCACTCATCCGACGAAAATCCAGCCGAGGAAGCCATCTTCGCTTTTAGAGATATGAACCAATAAAAGTTCTCGTAAGAAAAGTACCAATCAGCTGTCGTTTTAGAGCGCTGAGTTGCAGGGGTTACCGAGGATAGCTTACTCCGAAATCCGTCAGAAGGAGGTCATCTCGGGTAGATTTCCGATTACGAAATCCGAGCTCCCCCGATGTTGTGCTTGTGATATGATGGCCCTCTTTAACCTTTTAGACCCGCATAATAGAGTAGAAACGAACACGTACTTCGTTTTTGCTCATGACTTCGTATTAGCGTTAAGATATTTGCATTTTTTTTTCGTCGCTAACCTATATTACAGACTCACGAAATTTTTCCGATGAATCCTTTTCACGGATAGTGACACCTCCACGAAATCTGTCCGAAAGGAGGATATATCGCCGCACGCCGTACGGCGCCATCTTGAAAACTGACCGAGAAACCCCTGGGACGAGGTTTTTGTCTTGTCTCTCCAACCTCCACCTTAAGTGAAGATTTAACTCTTCAATGGAATATCCGCTGATTTTAGGGCTCTGTACTGTGAAATAGCTTAATTCAAATTGAAAGAAACTTGATCGTGTGAAGACGCGCAGTTTGTCCAACAAAATAAATTGATATGGGAGAACCGAAAAGGTTTGTATAACCTTTCCAATTATTACTTTTCTAATGCTCACATTTTGAAAAAGAATGGAAAAATGTTCGCAATCGTAGTCTTCGGTTTTTATAGAAGTTGATTGTTTTTGACAGGCTATAAAATATACATATACTGAAATAGCAATGGTTGATACTCCTTGTAACTACAGGTTGAATGTCCGACTCGTCTTTGTTGAGTGGAGCGGTGTGCAACTTTGAGACTACCTTTAAACAATGAAACTGACTCTTATTTATCAAGGCGAAACCCTTTCTTTAGTTCAAGTTTCTCTCGTTTAATTAAGGCCTTACTAAGGTATTGTAAATCATTATATCTAAGTGTATGGTAATCAGTCAATAGCTTCTGCTTTTCATGCAGAGAAATTGGTCAACTCAGGGTTGGGTTGTTGAAAGATAGGTTAAGGTAACCCAGGGTTATTGTGAAATCTGATTTTAGATCTGAAAGTTTTAAAAGAAAAGTCAGTACAGTTTTTTTTTGTCTACAATTTGATGATTGGATGCTTTTAAATAAAAAAAGAGAACATTGTCTCAATGGGTTTGGTACATACAGAAAAATGGCAGGAAGAAAAACACAGTTATTATAATAATGATAATAGTAATAACAAGTGATACATTTTTTCATTTCACTTCTGAGTTGATGAAATGTGTTAGATACATGTGTATTGACTTCCACATTATAGTATAATTGGTAATGTTTTTTTTGACACAGAAATCACAACTGATATTTCACACAACTTGTTCATGTAGGTATGGGCTTATCATTCCAGCTAAAAAAAACACAAAAAAACCTATGATTAAGAAACCAGCTGTGTTTGGTGATGATTCCAGTGATGATGAGGTAATCTTATCTAAAGAATCTAACAGGTCTTGTTATGATAAACTAGATTTTATGGTCAAATCAGATGTTCCCTTGCTTAGGGCATTGGGTCCAAAACTTAAACTGCTTTTCAGGTTCATGGAAGATGTAAAACTTCCCCTGTGGATAGACTACGGCATAATTTTTTAAAGGCAAAATTGCACAGAGAAAGGTAGCTTCAAACTAGTCCCTGTTCCAATCAGTGAGAAGTCTGGTAGAAATAGAATTCATAACAAGTTCTCCATCTACATGCTAATATACACTTTCAGTCAACAATACTTTACTTAAGGAACACATGTAGGTGATAAGGAATGTTCATCTCCACATTGCTTATTTTATTTTTGTAAACTGATAATATCTGTTTCAGGAAAGAGCTCACAGAGAAGTGAATTTATCACTAATCCAAGAATCACAAAAGAAGAAGCAAATGAAACAGGTGATTGATTGGAGAATAATCAATGTAAAATTATTGTCCTTACTCTGTGGCCAAGATAGCTCAGTGAATGTTTTGCGGATGGGTTCATTGTACTTACAACACCCTCTCTTCAGTAGAGGCCATGCAAAAAGTTTTCAGTTATTTTTATCTTTTGTTTAACAACATCCTCATTGATATTAAGACCTGGTTATTACCACCAATGTTTTTAGCTTTTTTAGTCACTAACTACAAGGAAAACAGTTTTCTGTTTCTCAAGCTAGAGTCAGAGGGTGAATTTTGTTTAACTTAATAGGTGAATGATCCCCAAAAATTTCCTCCTAGTATAAACTTTTCACAGCTCTACATGTATTTTTAAAAATTACAGTGTCATGTTACTTTTTCAGACTCAGATTGAAATACAGAAAGCTTTGAAAGAAGATCCTACTGTGTATGAGTATGATGCTGTCTATGATAAAATGGAAGAGAAAAAGAAAGCAGCAAGTGTTAAAGTTCCCGAGAAAGATAAAAAGGTGCCATATGTATATGTGCAGAAGCTTAAAAGTTCTAGAAACTTAATTCTTTTTAATTTGATCCTCTTAACAGTTTATAACTATTTCAACATACATGATTTTGGGGTACAAATAGTAGAGGTAATAAGTGCTCCTCTGCATTTAACCATCACAGATGTAATAATTATTTGCCAGGTTAAAAAGAGAAAAGACAAGTCACAGAGGTTTATTCCAAAAAGCACACCACTGAGCCTCTTAGTGAACAGGTCCCGTTTTTGTGTGTAAGGCAGAGTGATTTATGTTGATTTTATGCAGTGCATCACCTCTCTTCATCCGAGAGTGTAAAGTTCCAGCAGAACTGGTGCCGAAAATAAATTTTTTTAGGGGGATGGGGTGGTAATAGCTAGGAACATCATCCCATACTGACAGGAGAGTGGAATGGATACTCTTAGTTGCTCCAAACCCAAAATATTCTGCTTAAATACTTAGCCTAAGTACATTGGGAGCTTGTTGAAGGCTGCAGCAGCTCGGAAGAGGGAATTTGAAAGGACAGTTGAGCGACAAGTACAAAAGGAAAGAGAACAAGAAAAAGGAGAGTTTGATGATAAAGAAGCTTTTGTTACCGAGGCGTATCCTTTGATCTTGACAACCTGAGAACTTCTTAGTTGCATTTAATTTATACTTTTTTCGTTGGTGCCTGAGTCAAAATTTTTAATTTCTAGCTCTAGTTAGGGTAATATACATGTATCAGTTTAGGTGAGACTTTTAATAGCACTAGGAAAATCAAAATGAAAATTAATGTTGGTTACCTTTAGGCAAGAAACTAATATTAAGGGATGTAGAATGAGCAGATCGGTATTCCATCCAGGAGGAAAAAAACACTTCCAGTATCTACATACTTGTTGCACCACCTTAATGTAAATATTAACAGATTCCGTCAGAAAATGCAAGAACAACTTGAGGAGGAAGAGAGAATCAAATGTCAAGATGCTATTGATGGTGAGTCAGATTCTTTTTTATTTTTATCTTTCTGCAGTGATTGAAGTATTCTCTTCTAAACCCAATGTTTAATCATCATGCAACGGGAAAGTGCTGATTGTGTGATACTGTATGAAGACTGTTATCATACCCTTACAATGGTTTGTTAATGGCTGACTCAGAAACTGACTGACTGATTGACTGAATCACCAATTAGACCACAGACCAAGACTACAAACAGTACCTCCCTAACAATCAGGCTCTAAGTTGACTGAGGGCAGAGAAACGTTTAAATCCTAGAATTTTAGGTAAAAGTGAAGAACAGCTCCCCTAAAAGTCTGTTGGCCGACTGTCGGCTGGCAGTAGACCAACAGTTGACTGACAGTTGACCAAAAGCAAATTGACACTTAAAAATTTGACAAGTGTAAGGACATCGCAGTTACTCGACCCTTACCATTCTAGTAGAATCAGCCGCATGATGTACCACACATTGAGCTAAAATTGCATCATCGTGTGACCTGGGTAAGTTTATCTAATAAGTATGAAATTGGCCTATAATGCATCACGGTTTGTTTTAGGGCATCATATATGGACTTTCAATTATCTCTGTCTGTTTGAGTTTACTTTTGGTTAATATTTTCAGTTAGTTTATTATTTTTCTATGTAGTCACTTGTCAGAGACATTTAAAGCTGCTTACATTTAGTAAAGCAAAAAAAAAAGCTGCAAGAAGCCACTGTAAACAAATTTTTTGCTTCTTGACTGTGAGGATGATGCAATGGGATTGTGAGGGGTTTGGTACCTAAAAAACCTAAACATAGGAGATTGTGATGAGATTGGTCCCAAAAAAACCTAAACAAAATGGCAGACTCAAGTGAGAAAGTTTCATTTCGAGTTGATTTGCAATGTTCTTCCACATGTGCGAGCTGAGGCTTTTCTGGTATTCAACAGGGCTTCTCAACCGACACTTGGCCAACAAATCACCAACATGCTGCCAACAGTCGGCCAACTGTCAATCAACAGTTGGCCAACAGTTGGCCAACAGTTGGCCGACTGTTGGCCAATAGTCAGCCGACTGTTGGCCAATTGTTGGCTGACTGTTGGTCAACAGTCGGCCGACAGTTTTTGGGGGAGCTGTTCTTCACTTTTTCTGAATTTTAAGTGCTTGTCAAGTTGGTTGAGATAGAATATGGGCACACGAAGGTGACCCTGGCTGACTCAGTCCATCTATGATCTTCTCAGCAAGTCTAAAACCAGAACACAAGCAAACACGCTTATTGGCTAGGTATTTTGCTTATTGGCTGAATGGCTGAGTGAGTCGCCAAGTGAATCATTTGGTGAGTGAGTGAAGGATAGAGTGACTAACTGACTGGCTTGACCTGGTTGGCTTGCTGGCAAACTGACTGACTGATTAACCAAAGACTGAGATTCATTCCTTTTCAAATTTTGTATATATAAATTTGAATAAACTTGTATGTTATGTTAAATAAATAATGAATTTTAATTAACTAACTGATTTACAGTACTTTTACAGACTGGCTACCAATCTCTTTTACAGTAGTTCTTTCCAATAACAAATAAGAAAAGGGCCAGGAAAGAGATTACATATGATGGGCAGAATGATTTATTGGCTACTTAATAGAGTTGTAACTGTTTCGTTTCAGCTGCCAATGATGTCACAAAGCAGAAGGACCTGAGTTTATTTTATCGAAATCTTCTGAATAAAAATGTGTCATTGGGAGGATCATTCACTGCCAATCATACAACAAAGACTGATTTGCCAAACATTGAAAATGACAAAGAATCTCAAGAAAAGGATAAAAGGGTGCCTCCAGTAATGTCAGAAAATAGAAAACCAGAAAAACACAGAGATAGAAAGGAGAGTAAATATTCAAGAGAACAAGGATTAGAAGAAAACCCAACACATTCAAGAGTTCCTTCCCAACATATGAGAAACCATGATCACAATTGCAAACAAAGGGACAGTGAGAGTTACAAGGATCAACGGTCAACTGATTTGTCAAACTGGGAACAAAGAAGAGGCAGTGATAGGGAGCATGAGAAATTTGCAACTCACAGACATTCCAGTGGCTTCAAACCACATCAATCAGGCCGTGATGAGAGGCAGAATAATGATGGTAGCAAGTATTCTTGGGATAACCTAAAGGCACCAGATAAAAACAAAATCAAAAGTAAGGAAATTACCAAAGAAAGCAAAGAAACATTGAAGGAGGAGTCTCTTAACAAATTTGCTAAGCGCAGCACAGGTGAAACTGTTTCATCTGCTAAAGAGCGTTATCTGGCAAGAAAACAAGCACGCAATTCTGCTAAGAGTGCAACTGCCAATGATGACAGTGATTAATAGTTTTTTTATAACTCGGAAGCAAAACTGAACTTTTTAAAGTCTAAATGACTGCAGGGTGTCAAGTTCCTATTTTTTGGCCTGCTTCCTATTTTCTCCTATTTTTTCATGAAATTCCTAGTTTTTCCAATTTTTTAGGGTTTTACTAGATACACAGAAACGTTTTGAAATATTTGAAATAAAATTGCCAATAAAATTGATAAATTCCACCAAAAAATGAAACTTCATGTCAAGAAAGACCAGTTTGAAGCCTTTTTGAGTGATTTTCTTCTGAAACTTGTGCCCAGACTTTTTCAGTGCTTTTGACAGCATGCAAGGGATTCTGGGAAGTTCATTTGCATGCTAAGACCAAGTGAGATGAAGCAATGCAAAGCTTGGAAAAAATAGGACAAAAGAGTAAAGGCCATGTCCTCAACAACAAATGCTGCTAAAAAAAGAGCAAAGCTAAGGTTACCTAATCTGTTAAAAGAGCGAAAACAATGGGTCATCCTCGGTGTAAAAACCTGACGATGTTTTCTTTGTTTCATGAGGTATTGTTTTGCTGTATGCTATTGTTTATAATGTTTTGTTGTCTTTGTTTTACGTCACTCGTGAGCTTCACAGGTTTTTACACCGAGGATGAGCCAAAACAGTATAGTGTTGGACTTTTTGGTTGTTGATGTTCAAAAGTTGTGGTTGGCTTTTATTGTGAAGAAGACATACATTTGGTGACAGTGAACTTTGCAATGTTTTGGTTTGTCAAAACAATTATTGTTGCTTATTATTCTCACAGTTTTAAAGTACTAATGACTTAAATTAAAGGCATCTTGTGATGTATCTAATGAAATTTGGAATCTGGTAATTGTTGTAGGATGAGTTGTGCTTGGTAAGAGAGGTGGTAACACTTGTTTTTGTTTATACGGCAATGCATTGTGGATGTATGCCATGGTGCCTGGTAAATATTAAAGCGTTGGGTTGTGAAACAGAGTTGCTGTTGGGAGTGTTAAGAGGATAGAACTTAAAGAAATCCTCCTATTTTTTTCCTATTTTTTGGCCACTGTCATAATGATTCCTATTTTCTAAGTGTCATTTGTCACTTGACACCCTGTGACTGGTTTAATTTTAATTTATGACCACCACTCTTTTACTACTTTTAGAAGTGAATTATTGTGAAATGGAAAAAACTGTTTAAAATAAGCTATCTTTCCCTTGGGATTAAGTCTTTGTTTATATATTAACATCTGCATGTAATTAAAAGATAGTTAAAAATTTATGGTTCTCAAACTCTTGTTATGCTGGAAAGCAGTAAAAGAGTATTTACATAAATCCAGTCACTCTGTTTTGAGAGCTTGTTAGTCCTCCACCAAAGGATCCCAGTGAAGATTTGAGTTCTCAACAGAAGTATTATTGATTTGTTATCAAAGATTTGCATTGTTTCTCTTTTAGGACCTTTACAGACTGTTCCAGGCATTCAGTTAGTAAAATGGAGTGAAACAGTAAACAGCAGGACAGTAGTGGCAGAGTGAAAAGCAAGAGAGGTTTTGGCCAATCCAACCCAAACCTTGCTTGTTCTTTCGCCACTCTGTTACTATCACGCTGTTTACTATTGCGCTCCATTTTTACTTGAAACAGACTAAGTCCCTCAAGTTTCTGCATAGTAAATATTTGTGATGGAAAATGAAAAATGAAAAACTTTGACCCATCTCATGCTCTATATTTTCAAAATCAACATAAATCTTGAATATCAAAGCCATCTTCACAGTAATGAACACAACACAAGCAGTGGTGAAAATAAGGCCTGAAAAAAATTCAGGCCTGTATGGGATTTGAACCCAAGACCTCTGTGATACCAGTGCAGTGCTTTACCAACTGGGAGCTGGTCCCATTTTCACTACTGCTTAAGTGGTGTTCATTACTGCAAAGATTGCTTTGATATTCACTTCTTAACTCTCCGTTCACATACATGATTTTCATATATTCACAGTCATTTACAGTAATTCTTATTGCTGTGAAATGTTTGGAAGAAAATCTAAACCAACACAACAAATAAAAATTTTGTAGTAATTTATTTTCCATGTACTTTTGTTATCATACATGACTTACTTTGAAAGATCTGATTGGTTGATAGCATTCAATCAATATACAATGGTGTGTTAAGTTGACATGATTATGCAATAATTACTTGTTGCATGTATTGCATGCCTGCCTAGTTTCCAAGCCTGTTGTCTGTGCAGTGTCCCCTTTGAAAATTGTTTAAAAAAAATATGAAATTAAAGCTATTATTAAGTTTGGTTTCTGCATGATATCATGAATTATCAACCATCATGTCTGTGTTATCTGCTTTAGCCTATCGCTTCAGCAGGTGACTCAGACCTTGGTTTTGTGAATAGTGCATTCCACATGCACTGACTGGCTGGTTTGGAAGTAATATTCACCTCCGAGCAGCTGATGAGTCAACATTGCGCGTCAAGAGTTAAATTTTCTTACAATTTTTCCATAAATTAAAATAAATTATGTTTTGATTTCTGTGTGGTATATACTAAAACAATAATTCACCTCCACTTTGGTTAATTATTACATGTTGGCAAGATGTTGCTGTGGAGAAGCCTGTAAATGTCATTCACAAATTTACTAAATTGCTAGTTTACAATGTCACACCATCATCAAAACCATTCAACAAATAAAGTCAAGAATCAAAGAGATAATAGAAGATGAATACTGAAATAGTCTTGTTTCACAAAGGAGTTATAAGAAGAACTGTTTTAATCAAATTTTAAGGCTTAATTGGGGGATGCCATGTTTGTGTTCCTCTGAGGGACTCGAGTATAGCAGCCAGAAGCTAACAAACACGTGTCATGGAGTTTTGCTATAAAGAGCCTGTAGTCATCTTAAACATCTATTCAGTGCCCTTTCCCATTCACAGATTGTTCAGATTGCAAAATCTAAGCCGCTACGTCACTTTTCTTTTACCTTACATGACAGCATTCTTGGCCACCACTTTAAGATCATGTCACACAACAGCTTAGAGATTCAACATTGAAAAACCCTATCAAACTGAAAAATTGTAAAAAGATAAGTATTCAACTGTTCTAATAGCTAAAATAAAATCTTAAAAGGATTAATAGTTCCTTAATTTTTGATTTTGAGGATGCCATGTGAAAACCAAGAATATTTTATCCAATAAATTTTGGGGGGAATGCAATGGTTAGCATGCTAAACTCTTGATGAAAAGATTTGAGTGACACGCTAAGGGCTAGAGTATTCTGGCAAACTTGTGGAAGCCCAATCATATGCAGTAGTTAACTGGTGATGGACTAGCGTGCAATATTTTCTATTCTCTTTGAGGAGGAGTGACATACCTTGAGTTACTTCAATGTACAAAGATTGGGATAACAGCAGCTATGTCAATCTCAATTGCACGCTTTACCCTGTGGGTGGCATATATCACTGCCTAGTATAACATTCCAGCTGAACATAGAAAATGCAATATCTTTTATTACTAGACCAATTTTAACAATCCCATGGGAAATTGAACTTTATAGTTAGTCTGCAGAGCAAGTGTGATTTTGGCTGGCAAGTACCCAGTTAATTATCTTGCCTTTCTTCACACCCTCCACCCACAGTTGACTCAATCATGGCTGGATGAATAAGCAATCGCAAGCCTCTCAACATTAACTCTCCCTAATAAGATGCCAGCAATGCAGGCTAATTCATAGTTAAATTTATTTTGTTTGGATTTCTCCCCTGGAAAAAACTGAATTACACTTGTTACTTCTTCCAAGGGAGATTATCAAGGTCTACATTGCCACCACATAACACAACAGCAACATTGTTCAGATTAGGGAGTGCTTTGAATCTCTCTGACAAAACAGCTGCCACACCCACAGCTGCTGATGGCTCAATTAAAAGCTTCATTCTTTCCCACAGTATCCTCATTGCAGCTATGATTTCTTCTTCTGTGACAGTTATGACATCAGTTACATTGTCTTTTATGATTGGCCATGTTACATGGCCTATACTAGTCCTCAATCCATCAGCTATAGTACAAGGAGGGCCTGTTGAGATACAAAGAGGCTTAAGCTCCATATTTTCACGAGTTCATCTGTACTGTAATTACCCAATATACCAAAAATAAAAGGCAGTCTGACTGCATGTGCTTACTGTTTTATAGTTGTGGAGCATTGCTGTAAAAAGACCAAGATGGTGTGAAATGCAGAGAGTTAATGAACAGCTCTTGTAGATAAATGGGGTAGGTTTCTGAAGAAACTGTGATGCTGCTCAGTGGAGGAGTGTAACAAGGTAATTTTGGTTTTATTAATGGGCTTGATAATGTAAATTGGCTACTGTAAAGAATTTCAAAGCTGACATTTTGAGCCTTAGCCTTTCATCAGAGCCAATAGTGAAATCGTGGGTTTATATGCAGAAAATGGAGTTATGCTATTGGTGGGAACATGGGAACAAGAAAAACAAGACAAAATTAGTTGAATGAAAAGTGTTCATCCATTCGCTCCGACTAAGGGCTAAAGCTCAAAACGTCAGCTTTTATAATTGTAACGGTGGCCAATTTACCATTTCAACTTTGTTGATATATTCAAATTACATCTATAATACCATTGGGGATTAAAACCTGAATCAGATCAACGACCAGATTACGAACTGGATCATGAACTGGATCACAGTAGGTTTTACTTAAATTTTCCCTTGTAGTGAAATGGATTTTAGTTTTTGGCATATACGTGTGTTAGTGTTGGTCAGCGGTTTCCCGTATGATTGTGAGAGCACGTTGTTGTAGTCCGCCATGTTGGATGGCGTAACGAATAAAGTATAGTTCTGTTACTAGCACTGGCGTCTAGACTTTAGCTCTCCCTTTATGTATTGTAGATATATTTTGTTTGGACATTGACACTTATTTAGAGTTAAGGAATAGACTGTGTTGTTGAAGCAAATAATTTCTCATCAAGGTCCCTGAAAATGGTTTCCAAATGATGTTTTTGGCTTATTTAATCAGTACTTCAGAGATATGAGAATGTCAAAGACACCCCACCAAAACTATATTTGCACTGTGCTCATGCACTTGAACCCCACACTTCTTTGGAAAGGTTGTTGCTTTTAAGATGAAACACAGGTACATTAATTTTTAAGGAAGTGCCTTTAAATAAGGCTTTTCAGCAACAGTGAAATAAGGGTTAATTTGTGAGTAACATATACTGTAATTCCCCAGTCTACAGGGTCTGCATGGTCTGCATGGTCTGCATGGTCTGTATGGTCTGCATGGTCTGTATGGTCTGCATGGTCTGTATGGTCTGCACAATCTGCATGGTCTGCAGTCTGTGGTCTGCATTTTGCAGTCTGCACTTTAGCATGACCACTGTGTTGCAAATATAAATAAATAATTCCCCTTGAAATTGACGCTTTAAAACAAATAACCATACCCTCAACTTAATGTCTGATCTCTGTGCTCTGGTTTTTTGCAAACATTGTTTGGTTCTGTCACACTACACGATCTTCTTGTGAGTGTGTTGAACAACAGCTATGAAAGAGATTATTAGGAGACTACCCTCTTGATATTATTTACATCTGCACTTTACACGCAAGTAATTTGGGTGTGAAATTGACAATTGAGATGTGAATGTCAAGAGGTTTCCTATATTTCAAAATGTCATTTTGTGCATACTTAAGACAAGCAGTCATCATCATCATAATCTTTATTTAAACATGGTAAAATACATCAGGCATTAACAATTTAATATTAAAGCTACAACTAATTACAAAAAACTATGTATACTATGTATACAGTATACCTTACATGCCAGAATATTGCAGAATGGGGCAGATGTTTTCATTAGAGGATCTTTTATTCAAAAATCAGAGTGAAAAGTTTTTCATCTGAAAGAATATATTGGGAAGCTGATATCTCTAAATGTCATGAATCCTCAATATTCAGGATGTAGGATTGCCATTTAATCATAGATCCAAATTCCATTGAATCAACAGATCCAAATTATAAATAATTAAGGCATTGATACAGCCTGTGACCTGCTTTGACTGTAAACCAAAACACCATACCTTGGAGTGGAATCCTTTCATTTGCAGCAAATGATTTAGCACAGTCATCAGCATTTGCAGGTTCAGCAGCATAAATTTTAATGGCAGGCTTCAAAGCTTTGACAGCAATAGCAATCCCACTCAGCATGCCACCGCCACCAACTGGAACAACTATTGCATCCAAGTTTGGTACCTATAGACCACAGAAACAATACTTAATTTAATTTATTTTAGGTTAAAAATCAACATGATAATCAAGAGATCATTCTTAAGTAGACTTACAAGGAAAAGTTGTGTTGTATACTGATTGTCTTGTGTACAGTGGCTCAGAAGAATTGATATTAGAGAGATACAGTTGAAGGTGGTGGTCTAGAAAACACTCAATTTGCAAAACAATCCATGAC